CGCTTGCGGCTTGTGCTGTGGTTTTCCAGTCAAAAATGAGAAATGACTATCATCATGCCATTGACATGCCTCATGGGACTTGTTTAAATTTATTCCTTTTTTTCTGCGTCTTCCCGCGCTGTATTTGCATGGTCCTGATGTTTGTATGATTAACATTTACTCTCTCATTTAACACACAACGGAAAACAACAAACACCAAAACATACGCTACCGTCGCCTGTGCAAAAAATTCCGTGTACAATTATTTTGCGTGATAATTGAACCACTTGGAGTGCGCGCGCCAGCGTTGAATGCTTGCTATGAATTTACAAAGCGCAATTAATTGATTCTAATTTGATTAAGATGGAGCATTTCTCTCTCCAGATCGCATTTTCGTTCCATTCATTCAATGCGACTGTGTGTGAGCGTGTGTTTTATTGTAAACACTGTGGCACCCTTGCTGATTCAGCTGACAGCTGAGCTCCTGTTTTGGTTTTCAGCTTAATTAATTGCATCGCGTTAAATCCATGCAAACAGCTTTTGCTCAGCACAAAATGCCATGCTCGCACCATTTTCCGCAGCCGAAAAACCAAAAGACAACAGTATCGATAAGCAACGTTGCATGCAAAAGTGCCAGAGAAAATTAAATTGACATCAAAAGTACTGAATGAAAATGCTATGAAAATTCACTAGCACCGATTACTTAGATGACGGCGAAAATTGCGTGTCAACCTCAGCCGATCGTTATATCGTGTTTCCGACACTAGTCGAAACGATATTGCTTCCTGTATGGAAATCCAATACTACGCTCAGGATCAATTCGAATGCGGGATTATATTGTGGTGCAGCTGTGGAATTTCAAGAGAAAAAGCGATTGCTTTGCATTTGATTATGGCTTTTCGAATATTTTACGGGGTCATTTTCATTTTCATTACCTGTGGGCGACGATATTGTGTTGGTTTCGCATTTTCCATACAATTTCTAATTCGATGAAATTTTTATTTTCTATTTATTGCTTCAATTGAAAGCGATTGATATTGATTTTTGTCATGAATTACGCCCAACTTTTGTTCCCCCTTACGTAGTACTCAATTTTAATTTGCAATTGCCATCGAAGAACCATTGAAATCGGAAAAATCTCGAATGAATTGAAGGTTTCCATTGGAAACACACCCACTGCCACAGTTTGTTGGTCAACACACACACACACAATGTGAAATGTGTGGGTTGTTACTCGAGCAATAATAGCACATGTTATCTCTTTACATTAAGCATTTTAATGAAATAGAAATTTCATTCGTGTTCATGCCAAAATGGTAGAACGGTGTGAACAGACAAACGTTCACACGATTCATAGCCATAGCAAACACCTGTTGAACTCACACATAGAAATGCGATTTTACAATGCAAATGCTTTGATGATTTACATTTGGAGTGGTTCTCAGCGTCACATTTGGTGCATAATCCAAGATTTTAGAGAAAAAAACAAATCAAATCCACCTGGAACGCCATTGGTTTTTTTTCGTAAATGTTTACATTTACTTGCCACCGAAGTGTAAAATCGCTTTGCAAAGATTTACATTCGCATTTGCCGAGATCGATAGAAGTGTTTTTGTTTATATTTCATTTTGTAATTTTTAGGGGATTGGCTGAACCGTAATCGAAACCGGCTGCTTTACTTAGCAATTAGGGTCGGTGGATATTTCGTATTCTGTTTATGTTGTAGATAGATGTATTCCATCGAATAAGCTAGAATAAGTTTTAGCCAAATAAGTTGAAGCTAATATTTCCGTAGTTGATACAGGCACGTACAAATATTTTCATCTGCCCGGTCATTTGCATGATGGGCACACAGTCAAAACGTTTCTCTGCACACATTCGCCGGATTTTTTTGGTTTATTGATATTTTCAGCAGCCGAATAACAGGCTTATATTAAAACCCACAAAAATTCTATTTACCCACACTTGAAGGGAGAAAAAAATGAGGAAATATCGTATACTATTACCGACCACAATATTTTCCGCCTTTGCGCATAACTTCCAGTTTTTGGTTCGCGCGACCCAAAAATGGTGCGAAAAATTGTTGTGTAACTGTAACATTTTGACCTTTTGCTGTGTTTAAATTTATTCAGCCCATACACACACATATATATATATATATATACCGGTTGAAATGACTGGTATGCGTAGGCAATAATGTTAAATACACGAAGAATCTCCTTTTGTGGCTTTTCCGCAATAGAATTTTATTCTACATATTTTTTCCATGGAACACCATTAGCTAACATTCATCGAATAATTAAAAATCCAACCGTACACACATACCCATGACCAGCACTTTACGAATCGATTCATATTCAAATGGAATTACTCACTTTGGTTTCATAAAAGAGCGCGAATTCACATAAGCTCATGTCATAACACAAACAAAAATTCATTCCAATTCGATTTTGTTTTGGGTTTTTTGCGCAACCACACACTTTTCCCAGATATTCTATCACTTTGTTGCAATGAGAATGGCCGAACATTAGGCGGTCGTCCTCGTCGTCATAATTATTTGTTGTACAACTTCAAAAAGCATTGAAAAAGCAGAATGTATAGAAAATGATGGAACAAAATATGAATGGATATGTGAATTTCGGTCATACTTGAATGTGGGTTGCATCAATTCAGTCACCAGAATCGTTGATGCATATTCATAGAAGTGGAAATTTCAATGAAAACCGATAACAAACCACATCGAATTTCTATACACTGAATTATGCGCGCAACCATAAACCAAATATTTGATTGAAATCATTTGCGGGTGCACATTCTACACCATCGCACACTTCATTGTGATGTGAATGGAGGGATTTTCTTGAATGCGTGGCATTTTTCACACTATAATTATCTGAGTGAATGCATGAATGTAGTGAGATAATATCTTCCTCATCATGCCTCAAATGTACGTTAACAAAAACAAACATCCAAAATTTGTCACCCATCATTCAGTATACAAAGTTTATTTAGTGTGCTTAAATTTCGTTTGCATATCATGATTGTGATTTGTAGATGGATATGATAGTCGGTCAAATTTGGAGCGCACAGAAAGCAACCGAACTTCTTGACTTGTTTGAATTGTGAAAAAAGAAATAACCGGAGAAAAAGAAACGCAACGCTATTCATAGGAAAATACCATCGTTTTGTTGGGAACACCAAATTGTTCGCCTTATTGATGCTTTTGTCAAGTTGTCTGCCGAATTGTTGTGGTGCTATCGTCGAATCAATGTCGTTTATTCGAGATTTTTGCCATATCTTATCGAATTCCCCCATCGATTGCGCACATTCATTCAAACCAAAAACTCGCATTGTATTCGTTTTTTCAGTTTAGTCGATGGCAGAGGATTTGCGTACCCAAAAATCTCAGCACAAGCACACACACACACACACACACCAACAAAATTTTATTACGGCACTGAGAAGTTGAGCAACTACAACTCGCCATCGATCGGAATATAGAAAGAGAGAAAAAAGCGCCTTGAATAGAATTAAAATGAAAGCCGATAAAAACATGTTAACTTGAAACATAATGGCAATCAATGTCGTCCCAGTGACAGTACGATGAAATTGCAATATCCAATTATGGTGAGCAATAGAAGCAACAACACTCGATTCGATTCATTGCGGTGCTTTCTCTCGCCCTCTCTCTCTCTCTCTCTCTCTCTCTCTCGTTCTCGTTCTTTCTATCTCCCTCGCCATTCATTCAAACTGTACATGTATTTTGCGCCCATTTGTTGATTCGAATAACAGCATGCGAAATTCATGTTTAATCAACTTGCTGAAAGTGCGGCAACATAATCAAAAAATCATTCAAACATTTTCGGCACGAAAGCACTTGATGATTGAACATTGCGACTTGAAGCAGTTGGCTCTTGATGCCGAAAGTAAAATGTTAAGCTGGAAAATATCATTTCTATAGGCAACATGGATGTCCTTTATAAAGTTTCACTCAATGAGTCGTTTGAAGTCATCCAATATACGCAACGTTAAGAGTCTCGGCCGCCTCTTCTTCGCTCTCTTTCTTCTCCCTCCCTCCCTCTCTCATCTCTCTCGTTCGTTCGTTCGTTCGTTCGTTCGTTCGCTCACTCCGTGGAAATGGCAATCGATTTCATAACGAGAACGCACAACAAGAGAATGAGCAAAAGATAATGGGGAACGCTTAAGTGAACAACAAACGCTGTTCAGTCCATATGCCCTGCAGCCAAAAGTAGAGCGAGTGAATGAGCGCACACGTTGAATATGAATAATAATTTGAAATGACGCTCAGTGTCGGCAAAGACACGCGCCAAACATGAATGCAAAGCACATTATTGGAATTGACTGTTTGCTGCTGCTCGCTTATACACCATAAATATACTATCTAGTCATTTGTAACTGGCTTGCGGATTCAAATTCCGATGCTTTCGTTCTTGGGCAAATCAAAATTTCATTACTGCGGTGAACCGAATTCATGTCAATTGTGTCAAAGTATTTCGGTTTCGGATAACGGTTGCCATTCAACTGCCGTTCACATACAACACAACTCTCATGTTAATGTTACATGCTTTGAAATGACCACATAAACTTTCATGTCAAACGAATTGATTAACAATTCAAATGAACAAAGTCTTTTTCGTCCTGAAAACAGAGTAGACGAACGCATCTATTTCCAAATTTTTGTAATTTAATTTGTTTTTGCGGGCCAAATGTTATGCAGTACATTTTTGAACATATCGCCCATTGAGCCGATGCAACGGTGGAATACAAGGAAGCAAAAGAGAAGAGATGGCGGAAAAGTTTTTTAATTTGATTTTACGGAAATGATCCAATGAAATGAGCGTACGAGAGTATATTCAGCGATGTTTGGCAAACGAAACTCATCGCCAAATACTTTTAGCAAACGGAAGGAAATTTAATGAGAAAATCATATTTGCCCCAAATATCCCAGTGGCTGTTTGAGTGTTCCATCTTAACTAACTAATTTCAATTGCATTTTACAGGCCAATATCAGCGGCACGCCGTAACAAGAGCAGACGTCGAGCTTCCCATTCAACATGGTCAACGAGTGGATTGAGACGAAGCGATTCACAGGATTCTGAATTGAGTTTTCGCAAACGATGCAGCAGTTTGCCGCGCATCGAACAAGATGACATTGGTTTTGATGAGCAATCAAATGACGAAAGTGATGAGGAATCGTCGGTGCATCGGCATCACAGAGATCGTGTGCTGACGGAGACAGAGGACGACGGCGAAACGGAGGAAACGGACATCATGAAAAATCGAAAAAATCGCCGAAATTCAACGGAACAATCAAAAAGTCAATTATGCGTGCATGAAAAACAGCAGCAGCAACCGAACGATTCGAATGGCACAAAATTGAATGAAATTACATTGCCACCGCCATGCACATGCCCATACTTTGGATCGGCCAAATCGCATGCACAGCGAAAAGCTGAAGTGCGAATTGTATCCGAATTGAATTCCGAAGAGCTATCACCGCTTATCCTCAACAACAATCCAATCGCAATTGCATCAAACAAGACATCACGTCGTAATTTCAGCACAACACCGCCGAGTGGTTCGGCATTGCACATGGGCAGTTCAGCGCCAACGTTACACTTATTGACAGCACCCAGTCATCAGCCGATGTGTAATTCAACCACACCAACACCAGCCGCATCACCAACACCCGTTCCCATTCGAAAGTTAAGCTTTTCAATGACACCGCCGCAGACAAAATCCAACACAGTTGTAACGTGGGACACGCGAAAGAGTCAAAAATCACGACGCGGCTCAAGTTTTGGTGGCCATCAAACCACATTGATTGCACCGAAACCAGTGCCGACCATAACATCAGCACTGCGACGTTCGGCAACACTTCGCAATCACAATAATATTTTGAATGGATTAGGGGGCAATAACACGGCCGGCACCGGCATGAGCACCACCCGTAGTATGGATAATTCGGTTTCAAATATGTTGACTGTTAACAACAACAAAACCAGTTCAAATAAATCCACACCGTGCTTATTCAATCGTTGTGGAACGGTTCGATCACATCATTCTCGCAACTCAAGCGTAATGTCGCGGAATTCATCGCGTCACGGCCGAATCATTCGTCTCGAGCAGAAAGCAACCAAAGTGTTGGGCGTCGTATTCTTTACGTTCGTAATTTTATGGGCACCATTCTTCGTGTTGAATTTGTTGCCAACAATTTGCGGTGATTGTGAACAACAGATTAGTCATTGGGTATTTGATTTTGTTACATGGCTTGGATACGCTAGTTCAATGGTCAATCCAATATTTTATACGATTTTCAACAAAGTTTTCCGACAGGCATTCAAAAAGGTTCTGCTTTGCCAGTATGGCGAAACAAAATGGAGACCACAAAGATAGCAAACGGTTAGCAGCAAATCGTCGACCACAAAACTCAACAAACTCTAACACATTGAGAAGCAAACGCGATTCGATCGATGATTTGCTGCTGCTGCCGCTACAACTCCAGCAATCAACACGAATTGATGCAATAAATCGAAACTACAGTCAATTTCAACGAGAGTAGAGCAAAATAGACGCATTCCCAAAATAAGCTCAACAATTGGTAAAGGGGTACATAGGAAAATTGAGCATGAAAGCCGATTTTCATATTAAATAATTAAAAATAAATAAATTAGTTTGTGTGAGTTGCTGTTTACATGATCGAGGCCAAATTGAACAATTAACTGACCAAAAATAGATGGAATTTGAATATTTTCCAATGAATCCATTTAGGGTCAATTGAATGAGTTAAAATAATTGAATCGAAAAGAGTGATGATGATGTAATTGTTCATTTTTTTTGTTCGATGGAAAATTTACCAAGTAACGGAAGGTAATGAAGCAAAAAATAAAACCAAATCTCATCACGTAATTTAATTATTCGTTAGGTAATCGTTCAATCCAATACATGTGAACTGAAAAAAAATATGTTACATAAGTAAATTTGCATCCATTCTAACGATTCAACCATAATACTAATAATATAGACAATTGACAAACGCTCTGTATCAATTTTATCAATGTGAACACACAAACACAAACACACACACACACACACACACACACACACACACACAGACACACCAAATGTTACCAATGTGTATACTGCTCTCGTAAAGCTTAGATAGATGTTTTACCTAAAAAATAAAAATGAAAACTAATAAAATAACTTTTAACAATCAATGAACATAACAACCAAACTGTTTTTTTTTTCGAACGGACTAATTTGGTTAGCGTTAATTTTAAGAGGAAAAAAATCCACAACTGACAGATCCGAATTTATTATTTTCTATTTAAGAAAGTATTTATTTTTTTAAGTTATGTAAGTGGAAATCGATGATGCAAATTCCATTATTTTATTTAATTAAGGTACCATCTTCTGGAACGAACAAAAATGTCAACCTGAACAATATATTAAAACATAACTGACGCAAACTGGGTTTTAAGAAAAATAGAAAAAAGAGCTCAATAAAATTCATACTCATGTAAAATGTCACCAACTGACATACAATACACATACAAAGCAAAGCAAAGCAAAAAAAACCCAACTAATTACCGTATTTAATATAAATGTTAACCCATTGCCGTGACATAAATGCAACAAAATGTTTCCAATTACCAAACCAATCAACCAAATGAATTATTATTATAAATGTAAATCTCTGAATGTGTAAATGTGTAATTTTAATTGAATTTGAATCGTGTATTGAACAAAAGAGGTTCAGGAGAGAAGAGTAAAAATATAATGAAATGGTCTCTAAACATTTTAGAGTATAATTCTTGTTTAAACGAGAACCGACTATTGATTTTGACGGAAAAATTTGAAGAAAAAAAAAGAATCAATTTTGTTTTCAATTTTAATTGAAAGGCTCATCCAAAAGCTTTTGAACAGAAAAATTTATAGAATTTAGTAAATTAGTCTGCGAATAAAGGGTGAAAATCAAGACGACTTAATTTTTATTCTTATTTTATACGGTAGCAACACATTGATTTTCATGAAATAATTTTATTTCGATAAAATGACGGAACACTTTTTGTTTTGCCAATTGATGATCAGAATCGGTCGAGTCACATAATTCTTTAAATTGATCGGAATAATGCAATCCGAGCGCTTGTATTGTGGGCGCGTTCACAATAATCCTCAATCATTTTATTATGCTTGCAACCAATATACTTAACCAGAATATAAATGTAACAATTCTGAAAGATAGAGAAAATTCGGCTTCAACTTATTAAAATAAGTCTATTTGCACACATTCTCAAACCGAACAATTTCAAGAAATACCAAATCAATGTCACTGAAAATAACTGTAACTTTTTAGCTGTTTAAGGCAATTTCATTTTTGGAACAACAAAAACACTTTTGTAAATACCATTTTAGATGTATAGAATCTTGTCGTAGGGCTGTAGTTTTTATAGAGTTTTGATGGGGCGAATGAATTGACCATTTATTCGAGAAATGAAGAAATACTGAAAAGAATACCGAATGTACAGCGGACGCAATGAAGCATGTCGTGAAATAAATGTTTTGATTTTTTTTCTTCCAAATGTTAAAAAAAAGAGTTATCGTTGTTTTATTTCATTTGAGATGAATAATACATTTCGTAGGAAATATCCAGTTCAGTGGTCAGGCACCCACACAAGCGTGCACATGACAATTCAACTACTTGTGTTGACGCGCATAATGAATTTGAACATTATTAAACCGTTTTATCTGTTGCTTTCAGCTCATGGCATCAATACACGCATACATCCGGTCGCCGTTACGTTTCACATTTCCCATCAACGATATCTCTGCCCTTAGAACAAAAGCGACAATAGAAATGGATGGATAAAAATAAAACCGAATACAGAAATGATAATCATATTTACTTGTTGACGTGATGAAAATAATAATAATGTCGATTGATGTGAAAAGCTGAAAGTACGTTGCGTGTGGCATTTGTAATCATTCAAATTCGTAGAATCACATATGCGATACGAGTCAGAGACAGAGAGAGTGTGAGAGAGAAAGTATAAGAGACAAAGACAGTGAGATAACCAGAAGTGAAAAAGTTACGAAGAGGATAAGCGGTAATCAAATAAAGTGGAAGGCATCTAAGATGTGAGCAAGTCATAATGCGTCAAAATGTGTATGTGCTTTTCGATCTCGCAAAGCGACCATAAAACTACCTACACGTATCTCAAAAGTGATCTGTGCTTGAGCTTGAAAATGGCTCAGCAACGAATATTGGTTTTTTACGTCGACCATAACGACAACATTATAGTTATTGGCGAAAAAATTTGTTCACATCGTTGTATATTGCTTTGGATTTGGTACAAACACATCGTCGACGCTAATAAATTAATTCAATCCAATGCCAGCGAGATGCGAATATTGATCATCATCGATGGCGGCGGTTTTTCCATAATGGCAGCCAGAAAGAGAGAAAAATGAAAAATTAAATGAAATGTTCGTGCAAAGGCAAATCTGTTGCCATAATGTTGCGAGAATTTGGTTTTAAGCCAGCCTTTTCACATCATCGACAGCAGCTTTGTGTGGCTCAAACGACGAGCGAACAAAACAATCACCATTATTTTTGATCGATTTCAAAGCATTATTATTCAATTTGAATTACATTTACGTGACGCCACATTCTGACATTTTGGCATTGGCCTGGAATTTATCTGCATTTCCTTTTGATTTAATGGCAAGCGGGCAGGCGACCGAGGGAATGTGCGCGCACACACATACGTTATGCTCGATTACACATAGCACATCATATGTAGTAGCATCACCATTGAAAACCAAATGCACGGTGCCACAATAATAACCCGACAGAGTCCATTAAGCGAATACATGAGAGATTGAACGATAATGGAAATGAAATGAGGTTTGGTACGAATTCGTGGAATTGTTACCGCATGAGTCTGTGTTTCATTTCAACTGAACGGCACTCGGTTGACAAGTGAGAAAGCGCCGCTGGCATATTTTCATATACTTCTTCATTCTCTGTCTCTCATCGGTGTAGTGACATTAACAATCATTACCGTAAGTTCATCGTTGGCACAAGATTTGCGTTTTTTTTCGTCACATTTGCGAGCTTTTATTTTGTCAAGTAAATTCTTTGCCAGTTTGTTGCGACCTTGGATAAGACGTGATTAGTTTGCTCCACGAAATAAGTGTTTCGTGCCTTTATGAAAATGAACAAGCTCACCAATTAGCCCAATTTCAGTCGAAATGCCACCGTAAATCGGTCTATTAATAATACAACCTGCCATCGTGGTTTATATAAAATATAAATACTCCCATGCGTTCCCGAATTTTCTTGTTATCGCACGGAAAAGCTTGATCTGTGTTTACTTCGTCGGATATCAAACCAATTCAAAATCGTTCGATCGAACGGTTCAGCCAGAAAATGTGGTAAATTTCAAGCAAAATTTGGTTTCAAAAATTATTGTGAATATCACCATTCTGCAATTTAAAAATATGTTGCACATCTTCGAACATTTGAACGCATTTGCTCATCGGCACCAGACCACCGCAAAATCATTCAATCGAAAATAGCACATTTCCAATTCACTGACCGAATTCCTATACTTTTGCACGGTTCGGATCAATATTTTCCGTATTTCAATAAAAACATTCTTGCAAATCTATGCGAATTGCAGGAATGATATATGTATAATGGCGAATTTAGATAACTGCTTCGAAAGTTAATCAAATTATTGCTTTTTTTGTTTTGTTTTTGGGAATGGTTCGGTTCGATTCGGTTTCAGCAAACGCAATCGAAATAACGTTCGCTATTTAATAAACGATTTTCTGGGTGAGAAAGTGCCTTTGGTTCGGAACGTGAATATCAAAACCAACGGAAAATAATTAAACGCAACTCGCTTGCTGAATGAATGGAAAGCAAAGCAAAACAAAATCACGTAGCCATTTTATCGATGATGAACATTGGTTCATAAATAACAACAAACCAATCGGAATAAGATTTTCTCCCGTATGTTTGTTTCTTCTTCCCCCCTCGGTGTCTCTTTCTCTCTCATTCTGCTCGACGGATGTGTACATTGGCCAAATATCCTTAACGCTTGAATGAATGTAGATGAATGATAAGTCGTTAGTGAATGAAATACGATTAATTTTTCTGGTTCATTTGTATGGTCAATGATAGCATTGGAATACTTGCCGGATAAAATACGGTCATTTTTCGTTTTTCTCCGTTTGCTTCGTGTTGCTTTGATTTATTTAGGCATGAATTCGATGGCAATTTTACTGCCGACTGAATTAGAATTCCATTGAAAAAGTTTTGCCATTAAATATTAAGAGAAAAAAAAATAGTGACGGCAATGGCAAATACACATACACACAAGGATGAAGTGGATACGAACAGGTGTCTGTTGTACAAGGCAAAGTTCAAATAAAATTCGCTTTCGTTCACACAGAAATTATGGCCAGTAGAGACATGGTGAATGGCTTGTGTAACAACGTATTCATACTAATTTTCGGATATTCATCATTCTAAGTGGTAGCACGTGGCCAATAAATAAGTTTAAATTTGCCGATTACTTGGAAATTCCACCGAATAACTTAAAATAAATGCTCTGAAACGCCGGCCTTGTGTAATTCCGTATGCTGTTGATCGAATATTCATGTTCGACATCCAACAATCGATTTTATTTCAATTCAATATTCGAATCCTGATCATGAACCACACCACATTTAAATTCACATAAAAAAAACATTCCCCATTTTACACTCTCATGAAAACCGACAACCTTTGCCCTTAATATGTGTTGTCACAAATGAGGCAGTTCAAAGCGGATAAATGAATTCTATTTCGTAGCCTGATTCACATGCATCATTTCTTTCATTCACTTCTTGGTATTTCCTCTAAAAATACATCGGTCTAAGTTATTATTTATGTTTTCAATCAAGACGATTTGATGGATTCATCCATTCGAATAATCGTTGGATTTTTTGCTCGGAATTTACTTGGCAAAGTTCTCTTCATATCTTCCGGATTACTCTACTTGTAAATTGATCAATTTTACAATTCACGAGTGATTTTCTTTTTGCTCCGTTACATGTTTCACAAATTTTCAACGTTGACATCAAACTGTTAACAAAGTCACAAATACGATTTCCAAAGCTCATTTCATTACCGCAAGCGGAAATTGGCAGCTTCCGTTCCGATAAAAAAAAATATGATGTCAACATGGAAAAAATACACACTTGTTTCAGATGAAATCAGCAATTTTCCAATGATATTTAACGATTTGTTCTACCCATGGTTTTTCTTTCACATTTAGATGTTAATCTTCGGTATAATGTTCCAGAATCCAATACCAAGCAAAAACGGAAAAAATCCAAGCGAAAAAAATGGAGCATCAAAGTTTTTCCATTAAATAGATTAACATCGTTTGTGTTTTGATGCGAGTGAACTTTGGCAACGAAAAAAAAGCGTTATAATTTCATGAAAATGAAATATTTGGAAAATTGTAAAGTTTCATAAATCGAAAAATGTGAAACTTTGTGAGAGGCAAACGTTTCGATTATGAGAAACTTTGAAATGAGCAAAAAATAGTAAAGTGGTATGAGAGTGTACAACAAGAATAGAAGATAGAATTCAATAATGTTTTGAAAGCACGTATCAACATTCGTCATGTGCTGTTGGCCCGGCCCCTGCCAATGGGCATTCATCAAGACTGACGCCTGCATGGTTTTTATTTCGATGTTGCCGCCATATACTTCAATAGAAATCGGTTTTTTTCTTCTAAGAAGGCGATGCCGGTGCAAGGTAGAAAAGTATCATTCTCTTTATTTCCAACCTATCTCAACAAATCGACGAGAATGTGAAACATTCTGAATTGAATTTTTCAAAAAAAAAATCATTTCGCATAACGTGTATACATAATTTCAAAAGAGAGTTAGTGTGTGTATGTTCTTCAGTAAATGTTCGTCTATTTAGTAATCCAGTTAAAAGGGAAACTTTTTACTAGCTTCGAAATTAGCCATCTCATCCTTGAAGTGATTTCGCTTGTAACGTGTGTTGGTGGAGGTCGGCGGAATGAGGTCGTTTTAATGGCATGTAATCAGTTTTGATTTCTAGAATACGATTCGCAATGTATTTTTTTCTTCTACAGCAAGTGGTTCCTCCTTGATGTGAATGAACGCCTATTTCGTTGAAAGGAATTCACTTTTGATATGAAATTAAGGTATTAAAGTCTATGCAATGCTTTGAATCAAATTCAAACCAGCAAATTTCTAACATTCCTCCAGCTACTAGATACCTTTAATATAAACGAACGAACGAATGAAAAAACGAAAAAGAAAGCAACGAATGCTAACACAGTCCGTCTCTGACAGCCGCCAGCACATATTTGAACGACGTGCATTTTCAACGCAACAGACTGTTGGTCCGAAATGTGTGCTAACGAGACAAAAAGGTATTTTAATTCGTTTATGTGCGACGTAGAATAAATCAATAGACTCAGTTAGGTCATGTTTGTGTGTGCTGCAGGTTGCAGCACGGCGTCAATACAAAGGAGGCAGAATAAAGAGCAAATGTCAAGGTTTTATTGTCACTTGAATGATATTTAATGAAAGAAATGGCAAAATGCGTTATATGTGTTTTTATCATTTGCTTTGTCAGTTGATTTGGTTACCATAAAATGTATGCGCCTTGCTTCTCGGGCGTGAATGAAAAACAGATGCGTTGCCGAAGCGAATTTGAATTATGATAATGTTTTGTGTAAATCTATCTCTGTGTTTTTTTTTCTCGGTTAGGTGAAATCTTAACTGAGGCGCCACACAAAAGATAACAAATTGATTCCGTTTTTAGCCATGCTGGCATGTCTCCGAAACGCCTTTATCAGACATTGTAGGGCGTACAAGTTCATTTCAGGCGCCAATTCCATTTTTGTCGCCAGAACGAGGTTATTGTGCTTTTTTGGTGTTCAACAATGAAACATATTGCAGTGTGATGAATGCTTGCCGATTCGAAATAACACCAAAACAAGACTGAACCATTTCAGTTGGCCCGGAGCACATTCTAAATCCACGGCATTTATTGGATCAAAATTGACGAGCACACCCATTGAAGCAATTTATTTGTTTTTAATTGTTCTAAAAGTGTGTAAACAATGTCAAAACAAAATGTAATAAATAGACACAATTAAGTGTCGAATGGCAACCATAACAAAATGAAACATAATACGTATTGTGTTAATTGCCACTCTTTATGAATTGAATTCAAAATAATTGAATCGCTGTCTGGCGAAGCAAAAATGATTTACACAACCCATGCATATTTGTTGTTCGCATAACGGATAATTGAATTGGAATATGAATTTCCGCGGAAAAACCTCTTGCAATAGCTATTGTAATCGGATAATAGTAAGTACGTTAATAGTGATTCATAAATATTATCGGGAAAAGCATAAAACGCAATCAATTCAAATCAATATCAACATTTGGAATAAATGATTTGGAAGAGAGGTAGAAAGAAGCAGGCAATCGGTTTCGAATAAAAACTACTTGTAAACAAATACGAGAAGGAAAAATATGAATGAAATATAAGAGCGTGAATAAAGAGGATTCACTTAGAGGCTATTGTTGATTGTATCTAAAAAAGGAATAATGACATGCATTGAGAGTTCTCAGAGCCACACACACTCACTCACAACGAAATGGACAACTCATTACCCGATAAATAGTGAGCATATTGAAATAGCAATTAATGATTTTCTTTCCATTTATCAATTTGATTGTGTGCATTCTTTTCTCTGAAGCTCAGTTCTGCTAATAACAACCATTAGGCATAGACCAGACACAGATTAATCACTATTTTAGTGACTGCCGTTCATAGTTTTATTCGAGAATTTCGGAATCATCGACAACGAATTGGCTTTTTTGATCATAGTAGCGACGCATTTTAACGTCATTTCGACACAAAAGTCGGGAGGGTTTCCAGATGCCGTTGGTGCTAAGCATCCCGCCCAGACAATATTTATCATCATTTGTAGGTGACAGTGACACAAATTGAATTAATCAACTGAAAACTCAACAATTTATACCTTTCATACACTTTATGCTCTACATAGAAAAAGGGGGAAGAAACCATAAAAATCGTGTTTACCTGAAACGAAAGAAAGAAATGAACAACATTATTAATTTATGAGTCGTGGGGAAAAAGGGCTATTCGAATACATTGATTGGGTTGTTTCTTGTTTTAACGGCAATTGTTTGGAAGTTTTTCAAGGTTATGCAATGGAATTTTCCTGAATATTCAAAAGCGAATACCGTCAAGAAATCCGAGTCTATGCCAAAATATTAATTAAAAACAAGACTTAACAAGGGATCATCCTGTCAGAATGTCTGCAACCATGCATGAATAGCATAAACAAAATTCACATAGCGTTATATTGGTGTGGGAATATGTTGGTGTTTGCGATAAACAGAGACGAATTCCAAGAAGTAGCACATTTGTTAAACGAATGCAGACATGTTATTGCGTTGGTTCGGTGAACCACACGAGACGCCCTATCGCTTACCTATGTTTTTGAAACAATAGAATATGCTCGATTTGACTTGGCTTGGCTTGACTTGGATTCGTGTCAAACCAACGACAACAACAAAGGGTAGCCAAATATTGAAATCGACGCCTTTCAAACGATTTTCGGACTTTGTTTCGCTTATTATTGCTTTCAACTCTATAACAATAATCAAAGCACCCAACTTGGTCAAATTGATTGATATCATTAGTCTTTATTGTTTTCACTTTTATTGCCACGGTGTTCACTAACAAATCAATTTCATTTCTACTTTGTAATGACGTCGCGTCGAGGGAATTTGGCGTCGTGTATTCAAATAGATAGACGACAGTTTTCCCAAGACCAAGTTAAACATTTGATTACTACGAAAAATACCGAAATTTCATACAGACTCAATCAACTTCTTATTTTAACGAACACACGCAAAATACCGGCTTAAAAGAAATGTTTGGGCAACAAAGCGAAACAACAACGTAAAAAAGCGGTATGTCACACGCAACGAAAGTAAACGAAGAAAGAACAAGAAGGAAAGACACACACGCGCGTACATAGAGATCGCAAACTTTGTAGACAACGGTGTGTTGCTGATTAGGTAGCGCCAACAACAAACAACCAGCAAATATGCTGTGTATTTTTCAAACTTTTTGCACGATGCGGTGATACATTTTAGCCCGTATTTTAAAAGTGTTCAGCATACAAGCACGAAATGCTTCCTTTTTCTTGCTGCCACCAACAAACATGACTGTTATCTTACTCACTTTACTCAACCATTTCAATTATCTTTGTCATACGATTTGTTTGACAAGTGTTATTTGTTCTCAATCTAGGTACAAAGCATGTGGTAGTCAAACAAGTGACGATGATGGGAATTTCTGATAATACATTATTTCAATGCATGAAATACAACTTTTTTCAGCAATGAAATCGTATCTTTTCAACAGAAACAGGTTTATCTAATTCAACATAGACGCAACTCTCCAGCGACTGGACATTTATGAATTCGAATATCAAATATTAAAAAACGAATAAAATGTTCAAGTTTTTTTTTTGTTTCTCAGTGTCTCTCAAACGAAACGTCTCGCTTATGGTTCAATTTGTGTATAGAAAAATGGTTGTGGATGTGTTTAAATGCGCAATCTAACGCTACCATAGCATTATAATTCTGTTGAATTAAAGGTAAAACATTTTAGTTTGGGTGTCATTGACAAAGTTTCTATTGACATTGTCCGCTCACCAAGAGAACTCTAAAAAATGCGCTGCGTTTAGGAAAACCTCACCTCGGAACTGAATAACGTTTCGTGTTCGCTCGAACCGGATAAACTAATTAAAGCTGATGACATGGACACTAAAAACCCGTCTAAACAAGAGATTAATCCTATTTAATTTCGTATAATTCTGTTGACATGTCAAAACCATATTGTTGTTTACGTTCCTCGACGCCAAGTCAAACACTCACACACACACAGACAAGTAGCAAACGCCCGAGCGCCATGAAAGACTTATACAATAATAATCGGCCAAGGAAGAAGAACAGAAATAATTGCTTCCAACAAAATATCTCATTTTCTTTTTTCACCGAAGTAACGATATTATCCCAAGTTCCTAAAACCAAAATACGCATAGATACTGAACTGTTCAACGAACCCGCTTTATTTGTTTCACACTTCCCGGGATTCGCAAATGGTAAAAATTTTCAACATCACTGACTTTTTCGGGGGTGATGAATGGTTGGTTGATGTTGGGAAATTCGACGAAAAGCTAATTTAAATCAACTCGTCAAAGTTTTAGATACGTATGTAATATACGTAGTATATCGTTCTGGTTGCGTTAGCAACATTTGGTGTAATTTCATGTAATTTGTGAGAACAGAGTAAATTAGTTTAGAGGCGAATGAAAAATCATACGAATCCAGCCCTATAATCCGTATTCGCCTGGCAAAAAGAGCAAATTTCAATGGCAACACCCAACAATGGTGTTCTCAGTCCTGTGCAAATCGTTGTAACATGCGCGTGTCTGTGTGTTGGCTCTCTACGCTTCTATGCTCAGTTCGTATTATGTGCCTTGCAGTGTGTGTTGAAGCGAGAGCAGTACAGTGTGCTGCACTGCTCTCGCTAATGTTGTGTGCACTATCTCGCCTGTTGACCGCGGCGGACTTCGTCTCATCACACATTAAGCATATGGGTAATAAGAGAGGGAGAGATAGAATTTTCATTGGAACACATTCAAATGAAATACTAACAAATGAAAAAAACGTAAGATTTTTCAAGGTTCCTGCTGTTTCCCAGGGTTTCAATTTAAATGACAACGTGTTTGATTCGATTTTTTCGCTTGAAATATTATTGGAGCCAGTATCGATACCGCGCTGTTTACGATTTTAACAACGGTTGTCAAAACCGCGTATTCCGATTCAGAGAGTGTTTACTTTTGGGGTTGCCCACCATTTACTTGATACTTTGTGGAATAAAACGGTGTTTGGTTTTGACATCAATGAGAGCAGCGGGTCGTTGTTTTTCAATCAATGAGCTGAATCAAATGATGCCAGAAAAATGTTGTTTTGAAGCCGTTTTTTCTACGCTCTAATAATTCAATTGACGTACTTATTTTTACGATATCGTTGGTTTTTGCATGCTTTTCACAAATATTATAACAACATGATTTTTCAGCGGTTAAAGCAATCTGAATTTGTCTGTATTTGTTTTTTTTTCGAGTACCAACAGAATTGCTCTGCAAGAATGGATGTACTTTAATTCAAGTTTTACATGTTGAACAGCATACTTTTAATGGGTTATCGTATTACATGTTCCAACTTTGCGAATTTCCCGTAAGCGTTGTGAAATATATTTTGAAATGTTGTTGAATTTGCAATTTAAAGAGATTATAATTGTGAACATTTTCCACGGAAGTAATTTTAAAATTGTATCTGAATAAATTGGTTTTTGGCTACGATGCTGAAAATTTTCAACGAACACCATCCATTCGCTTGAAATGAAGTGAATAAATAGAAACAGAAAACTATTCACTTCAAAAGCAACAAACATAAACATTTGAGAGCATAGTAAGTCGAAGTGGAATGAAAGTAAATAAAATAAAGTGAAAAATCAGTGATGAGTTGTTGTAGATTCTGTTACAGATACGCGTTATCCATGTGAGAGAGCACAATGAGTGTATGGGGGAGAGCAACGAGTGTGGAAATATTGGATTCAAAACCAGAGAAGAGTTGATAATTCGAAAATTTTCTAATAGCATGAGCTTGAGCCGAAAAAAACAGCTTTCCCATTACGCCAACCGAATGGAATTCAATCGAAATCTAAGATAACACGAACGCAGCATTCGTCCGTGTATTTATGGATTTATTTTTTCTCCACTCCAAAGCATTCTTTGAGTCTTCGAGTGCTCTCTCTCTCTCTCTCTCTCTCTCTCTCTCTCTCTCTCTCTCTCTC